ACTGAGAGCTTCCCATTCATTGAGTGCTGAGGCTGTAGAAAAAGAAATGGAGGATTTGGTGTCCTCAATTTCTTTTCTATTTTAAAAGGGAAATATATTTCCCCGAAGCCCCCCCCCCAACAGTACAAAATAAATAATACAAAAATAAAAAATTATGAAAAAAAATAAAAAATTTAAAAAAGATTTTAAAAAAGTGAAAACAGCCCCCCCTTCCCCCCCTCCCCACACACACACACACATATTATTAGACATTATTGCGAAGACTAAAAATTAATTTGAGATGAAATAAACGAAAACTAAAAAAGTTTTCATTTGTTTCATCAAACAAAACACTTTTTTATGCTAGTTTGGATTCAGCCATTGGCGTGTTCTGGAGGCCGGGCGCATGACGTCATATAACACTGCACGTGTTGGGCGCGTCGCCATCTTGGTATACACCAAGATGGTGGGGCCAATATCGGCGTGTGACGTCACCTGACGCCAGGCATGCATGGCGTCATGTAACGTTATGCTCCCTGCCTCCAAGATAGTGGCACGCATTCACAGAACATGCCGGTGGCCAACATGGCCGCCGCACATTCTCAAACAAATTATTATGCACCTGAATATATTTTTCGTATATTCGGACATATAGTAATTCATTAATTTTACATGTAGTCCAGGTTTTGTGTTCTGTTTTCTATTTTTACTTTACTAGATACACTTACTTGAAAAAAGGGATCGGCATGACAACCTGACACTTTATTTTTATAGACTCTATTGTAGTTTGACATTTATTGTTTACCTTCTGTTGTTTTATTTGATAAGAATACTTATATTGTGCTACAAGTTTAATACCTTTGAATAAAAGTTTTATTTTTATCATACTTTTTAATATGTTTCTTTGCGGCTTAACAAAATAAGAGTCTTTAATTGGTGCGGATATTGGGGAAAATGGGTGTGGTTACGGGGGTGTGGCCACTAAAGGGTGTGGTCACTGAGGGGCGCTGTAAAGCTTTCTCGCACAGGGCGCCTAAAGGCCTAAGGCCGGCCCTGGCTGTGATCAGTGGATTATGGGTGCAATGTTATGGCTGCTGAAGATTCTCCCTCTCATCTACTGTCTGTACATTCAGTAACATGGACATGAAAAAGTGTCTATAGACTGGAAGTGTGGTGACGTCACCGATCTTACGTTCCATTAAGAACTACAAGTTTCTCTGTCACAGTGGCAGATGGGACTTGTAATTTCTCCATTCACAGATGCTGTCAAAGGATCTGTGAATGGATAATGCAGCCACGTGGGTGGAAAATCGTCAGATTAAAACCCAGCGATTCAGGTAAGTGGAGAGGCAGCGATGTGACCATGTTTGATACCCTGAATACTGGTGTAAACAGGGGAAAAAAAAAAGGTATACCTTAAAGGAGAACTATGGGGTCAGGGCTTTTCCCCATAGTTCTCCTTAGGGTAATGTGGGGACACAAACTAGCGTCCTCCCGTCACCCTAAGCTCAGTATACCCCAAGCTACAGCTCGCGGTATACTGAGACGCCGGCGCGGATCCCGACATCGATGTCGAGATCCGCCCAGCTGCGTGAGTGACAGCTGGCTCTGCCTATCTAGAGGCAGAGCCAGCTGTACCCGCCCCCTCCCCCGTCCGTTCCGCCAGTCAGCGCTGGAGGATCGGAGCGGGGAGGGGGGAATCCATCCCCTCCCCTGTCACGGCAGAGAGCCGTGACAGGATCGAGAAGTGAGCGAACACCGGCATGTGTTCGCTCACCTCCCGATCTACTGAGCCGACCTGTGACAGTCTCATTGTCACAGGTCGGCTAGAACTATGAGGTGAGTGAAAAGCACTCACCTCATAGTTCTCCTTTAAAGAAGACAGCAAAAGAGAGACTCTGACTGGACGCTGGAGAAGCAAAGGGGCTTTTGATATATACACCATACAACGCCCCCCCCCCATCCTTAGGAGCTCTTTCAAAAAGCCTTTCTTATTTGCCCGAAGCAGCCAGATTACTCTATCCTTCCATTGCAATATGGGATATGGAAAGGAAAGATTTGGTTTCTATGGGCAACAAAAGGTGGCACACAACCCTATAGGGCTCATTAAAAAATTCAACAGAACAGCCAGGGGGCCAAAAAGTTGTAACCCCACTCTGTCAAAACCTAAGAAAAAAAAGTCTAACACAGAGGGTACCATCAAAGAAAACTGCATGCAAGAGTGAAGGATAAATGGATAGAGACACTTTTGAAGATATATGCAATTCTTGGCTCATTTTTTCCAAGTCCAGCCTGACTCCACTTCTCCTGCCTCCTAAACATCCCCATTGGTCCGTCAATGTGATTGGTGCCCGCAGTTAATACCAGAAAGAGCCAGAAGGCAGGAGCATTACAGGCAATCTTGATTTCTACAGGAAAAGTTGAGAATTGCACACAGCCTTAGCTGCCTTTATCTCTTGATTTGATGACCAGTTTGATAACGGGGGGAACCTCTGCTTTTTCATTATAATCAATTTACCATCGCCCAGGTTTGAGATAGGCTTGCTTCATAATGTGACTGGAGTTTTTAAACATATTGGTTGTTTAAACTAGGCAATATCCTCTTAAAATAGGGAGCTGCCAAAATTCCTAAGGCCTAACCAATAACACTTGTACCCAATTTATTTGTCCTAAATTTGTACCTCTCTGTTGACCTTTAAAAACTAGGCTGTCTGTGACCACCACTGTATCAACTGGCAGCACAATAACAAAGCAGATGAAAATACCATTATGGAGATTCATGGGGATTCAGAAGCGTAGGTATTAGGGCTGCAACCAACTAATCGATAATTCATTTATAATAGTTGTCAACTATTCTCCATTATTAATTAGTTGGTTGGATCCTCTAGCTCTCCTCCACACTGGGAGGAGGGCACAGCAAACAGTGGGTGGCTGCAATAGCCATCCTGCTATTTGCGATTGCAATTTGAAATGGCCAATAGCAGGGTGGCTATTGCACCCACCCTCTACCTGCTGTATTTACATTCAGAATATTGCCACTGGCAGCTGCCATTCCCTGGCTGAAGCTATTCAAGTGGCATGTGCTTATAATACATTAAAAAATAAAACCTGCACATACACAGTGTGATTGCCTGCACTGGAACGCACGGTACCGCAATGCTGTGCATTCCAGTGCAGTGCGATGGCAAAAAATTGTGTATGCAGTTTAATTCTGAACGTTATATTTGTAACACTGTATTTGTCCTTTTTTCTATTTTATTTTAAATTAAGGATGGTATTTATTTAAATTTTGTATCTGAATAAAATCGGGGGGAAAAAAAGCCCTATTATTTATACTCAAAATGTTTCAGATAAAAAGGTGATAATATTGAGAAAACATTTTATAACAAAAAACTGGTTGTAACACCCAAATAAGTGGCAGTGCGGTCATCAGCACTCTTCCAGCCAGATATTGTTGGTTAGATGGGATAGCATGGTGCAATCCGGTATACAACAATATGTGACACATCTCAATCTCCTAAGTATGAGAAAGTACATTTTGTATCTGGCTATTTGGCCTTAATATTTAAAGAAAATATCTGCCTGACTACCATTTTGCCTCAGTTAGGGTTAGCTAGGTGAAGGTAAAAAGTTCTGATGAATGGCTATAACAAAAAGAACAACAAACCAACAAAATGTGCTATATTTTCATACTACATGCAACAGGATAAGCAACACAAAGCTCCACTACACCTCCTAGGAGAGGGGTAGGCAAACTCAAGCGCTTCAGCTGTGGTGCAGCCCCAGGCATAACTCCCAGAGGCAGATGCATGATGGATTCATAGTTTCACCACAGCTGGAGGGCTGGAGTTTGCCTACCCCAGTCCTAGGAGAATAAAATAACACAAGCATGTCTTGCCATGAAAGCAACATAGCCATATGGAGCATTTCTGGTGTATTAAACCCACAACTGTCCAACTGACTCAATTATACCGAGCTCAATGTTTAGGAATCAGCAACAGCAAACCTATGCCCATTCCCTGAACATGAAATTTAAAATGAGGATGTAAACATGAATTGCAAAAGACCAACTAGGGTAGGCTCATACAGAGACAGGCAACACAACAGTTTCCACACATGGAGAAAAGGTTTGGGAGAAACTCCAGGCAAAAAGCTGAATACACAGTCAAACACATTTACTGTTAATGGAGTACTAATTCTGTACAGCTAATCTCGACTTTAACATGAACCCGGCCTAAAGCATTTATAACATTGCTGCAGAGCCTGAAAGTACCTGCGTTAAAGTGACACTAAACTCAGGAGTTCAAGCCTAAAAATGCATTCAAGTACCCTATTAGCAAAAATGTATCTTATTTGTGTATCACTCGGCTATAGAGCCTCAAATAATCTCTGAATTAGTGCTGACACTGTCCTTCCTTCTGGAGGGGGGCTACTTTTGTGCCCCATGGTCCCTGTGTGTGTTGTAAAGTAGCCACCACTCCAAGCTCGCTCCCGGGATGGACTACAATCTCACTTTTCGTTTACTAATTTGTATTGAGCTTGTAGTCCATCACAGGTGCCAGCTTTGAGCAGTGACTACTTTACAACACACACAGGGACCATGGGGCACAAAAGTAGCCCCCCTCCATTAAGAAGGACAGTGTCAGCACCGATTCAGAGATGATTTGAGGATCTACAGCCGAGTGATACACAAATAAGATACTATTCCGTTAATAGTTAAGGCACTTGAATGCATTTTTAAGATTTATTTCCACAGTTTAGTGTCACCTTAAGTCTACCAATCAGTCCATGAATTCCTGTGAAGCCAATTCTATCCTACAACCATTCTGTAAAATTACAAGAACACGCCCCACTCCTTCCTGGTGCTAAGCCATGCCCCCGGTCATTCAGCTCTTAAATGCCAGAATTCCAGTGAGCAGCTTTTGCTCTGACATCTGATGGGCAGTGTTTAGATGCTGCAATTCAGCAATTCAATATTTTAGACCAGGTCAAAGTTATTTTAGGAAAGAGAAGTCCCTTACCGAGAGCCAATCACATCAAACAGGTGCTTCCAGCGGTCGTTCACTTTATTCAGCTTGTTTTCAATTTCCGTTGACCGGGCCTTGTTGCTGGCTATGATCAGCTGCTCTCCAATTTGTTTCAAGTGCAGCTTATTTTCACTGAAGAGATTAATTTCTTCCATGCAGTCCTAATAATAGAAATACATAAAGTTGTGAAAAGCACCTAGAAAACATTGGATGCAAATTATTACTGTTCCACAGCAGTGCCATTTCTGCTGCCGACTATTGTGCTGGATCACATCTTAACTATTACAATCACTTATTTTAGATCGGTTTTGATTTTATCATCCATGGCACCCTTTGCATGCAAAATATCGAGGAAACCCAGTCTAAAATACAAAATCTATCAACGTAAAAATGTAGATGTGGTCCCTTAAAAATCCACCCCAGACCCTTGTCCAAGACAGTGGTCTAGTATAGAATAAGGGGGTCCCCACACACAAAGTGAAACAAAAAAGGGGTTTACATCATTTAAGTAAAAGTACTCCATCACAGGAGTGAGCTTGGAGCGGTGGCTACTTTACAACACACACAGGGACCATGAGGAATAAAAGTAGCCCCCCAGAAGGAAGGACAGTGTCAGCACCAATTCAGAGAGGATTTGGGGATTTACAGCCAAGTGATACACAAATAAGATACAGTTCTGTTAATAGTTATATGACTTGAATGCATTTTTAAGATTTTGCTCCTGCTGCAGTCAAGTTATACTTATAGATCCTGTCCCCAAGCCTGTCAGGCGAATCAGCAGACTGATGAGCTCACCTGTCACTCTGCTCTCTCCTATCAGCATGCCCCTTGTGAGCACATGAGCACTGCGGCACAACTGCCTGGCACTTCTTCTACAGTTCTGCTGTATATTTAACTGTAAGATGCTCTTATCAGGTCGAATTCAGGTACTAACACTGCTTGCATTTAAAAAACAAATGTAACAATGAATACAGAGGTGAATTCATTTGTATCTATTATATCTTTCCATCGCGTTTTGCTTTACCAGTGTACCAACTGCCATGCAGATAGCAATAGCTGCTGTAGTCATCAATGATACTTACTAAAACAGGAGTCAACCACAGTAATAAATATAAACAAGTAAAAAATATAATTTTCCAACATGTATAAAACACGGCAGAATTTAGGCTGCACTGTGGCTTTTCTCCCTAAATAAAAATGGATTTGTACCGGAGATTTAATATAGCCCCTGCCAGATTCACCGCTTGGCTGTAAAATATTTATAGTCTCGCATAATAATTGTTAGAACTGCAGGAAATGTTTTTGTTAACAACTTTGTGGATGGAGCCCCTGAAATGACCTCTTCCTATATAAAAAAAAAAAAACAACTTACACCACATGTTCTATCTCAACTGACGGAAGTCATTTCCTGTTTCCAGGAAATATAGAATTGTGCATGTAAGAAGTCATATCCTATGGGAATGCAAATATACACAGCCAACGTTACTGGAGACAATATGCGGATTCAAATACCGACGAGCAATGTAATCTGTGACCGTTTACCTTCTGCAACTTCTCAATCATTTCCTCAATGTTCACATCAGCATTCTGGAGGACTTTACTCTCCATCTGTGTCAGCCAATCACACAGCTCTTTGTTCTTCTCATTGAATACATTCCAGGCGTTCAGCCGATCCTCTATCTCCTGCTTTCTCATAGACACCTATATAGGGCAGGAAAATAAGGACAGTCAGCAGCTTTACATCTTGGGAATGCCAGGACAAGATAAAAGCATATGCAGTGCATTTATACAATACAAGGACATTTCCTCATCTTTTATCACTTTAAATGCAAGTACAGAAAATACTTGTTGCTGTGCCAGAAATGCACTCAGTCCTGTTCTGCGCTGACAACGCACAACATTTAGGTGGAATGAGTGGTGTCAGCTCTGCCCAGCTGTCTTTTGATGAGGTTTCTGCTAGTAACACCACTTCCTATTTTACTGTCTCACAATTAGTAACTCCGTCATCAGTCTAAACTCCTTCAGTTGGTCATAAGGCCGCCAGTCAGGTCTACCATATAGGCAGCCAAATGGCCTACTGAAGGAGCTCACATGACACCCTAAATCAGGAAGTGAGGTTACTGGCAGGATCTCCAGGTAAGAAACTTTGCAGTATATAAAAAAAAAAACAATATGGTTAAGAAAACTGTATACACTGTATACACTGAGGGTTACCAGTGTTTTTAACACCTCCTCCTCAATGGCAGTTAGCACAGGACAATTCCAGTTCCACGCACTGCCATTGCAAAGTGTTGGCCACGTCACCTGGGGAGGTGCATGAATCTGCATAGCATCAGTGGAAGTGATACCTGGACCCCACCTCCCACTCTAATAAGTCCTTTCACCTCTGATGTTGTCACAGGGAATAAGAAGAGGACTTCAAAGCTCCATGGAAGCCACCCCTAAATGCAGTAAGCAGGATTTAGAATATACCTGCACAGCACCGAGGAGTCATGGTAGCCTGAAATCTGCATTGTGTGATGATGGAAATGCAGAGTATGGTCTAATCTAGTTAACGTTTCCAAGAACAGTAATTGCTTGAGGTAAGTCGAGCTTCTGCTTAGATCACCAATGCCCCATGTGTAGACCCAGTTTGTTCATCACAGGTCTCTGGTAAATTGTTGTGATATCTTAATGTGTGTTGTGTTAAGTCAACAAATTGCAACAAAAAAACACATCTGCACCATTTTTCCAACGTGGAATGAATGTAAATGCAACACACATATATACCAGCGTGTTACTTCTTATTACCGTAACACATTTGTGTAGATGGGGCCTCAGGAACACAGGCAGTAGATAGCTGTACACCAAGATCACTCTACTGCAGGGTTGGACTAATCCCAGGAGCCAGGTCACCAATGCTCCTTACAAATTACAGCTATGGAAAGGAATCACCAGCACTCACAGGATGTGATATTCTTGTTAATTTTTATTGAACATGTGTCACAATCAAACCAACGTTTCGGGGCCATGCAGGGTCCCTTCCTCAAGGCGACATAGTGACAGTCACATCCTGTAAGTGCTTGTGATTCCTTTCATCCGTATTTGAAGATACATGGCACCATCACTTCAGGCACCGCTAGTCAGAAAGAGAAAGGTCTACAGAGCCGTATGGAGTGCAGGTGACAAACCACAACACTTAAGAAGCGGATGCCTAACTTTTGAGGTTCTCTCTAGTTGTTGTCAATGGAGCTGCCTCCTAAAAAAAATCCTGCTGGCTCCTGAATTCTATATTCATTTGTCCACCCCTAAGCTAGTGAGTCAATTTATTAGAAAGAAAGTACATAAAAACAGCAGAAATAAAGAGTGCTCCACAGCTCAGTACAGATATCTGTCTTCTTCTGATGTCCCTAAACCATCCATCCTCATGTGAACCACATCCACAGAAGACACATTTATTAGAAATTAACTCCTGCACCATGATACTTTGTCCTCAGGCCTCCATCCAAGTGCTGCTCTCTAATACACTTTGACTGGCAGGGGTTTTCCGCATGTGCACCCAGGTTAATCCATGTAACCAGCTTGCCTTCATTTATCCATTGATCACTGCTAAGGAGGCTGATTACTGTAAATGGAGCAAGGGAAAGAAATGTTCTCCCATAGCAACAAGACCACTACTGAAAATAAGAAGCATCCATTTGTTGCTATAGGCAACAGATCTATCTTCCAGATTTCAGAAGTCCGTCTCAGTGGGTTGTCAAAGCTCCATGCAATTTTTCCAGCAAACTGCGCACACTTGTCAGACGTTTTAAAGCACGCACACGCATGTGCCCACTTGTTTTCCATGCACTTCCATAAAATTTACAGCATTTATTGAGGGCCTGTTCACGCTACATCTATGGTGTGAACTGAGCACATTTGTTCAGACATGTTTAGTGGTGTGCAGAAAAATGGAGCTCAATGGACATGGTGCGAACAAATCCTTAGGGCTTATTCGCAACATGTCCCGACCAGGTCTGGATGCGTTTCTGCAAAGGTGGTGCAGTGCATTTTTGATGCGTTTGTTATGCACTCCAGTGCATTGTGTGGGCTTTCAAGTGCATTCCAGGGCAGCTGCATACATTTTTGATGCATTTACATGTATTTTGGTGCATTCCAGACCAGAAAAAAATAGTGCATGTAGCATCCCCCCCACCGGAACGGACTGCAGACATGCCATAAGAATACATTGGGATGCATTTCAGGTGCGGACAAAAAAACACAAACATTTTGGTCAGG